CGTGAGCTTGGCACCACACTCCAGCCAGGGCAACAGAGTGAGATGACTCAAAAAAAAAAAAGTCAAGAAAGTAAGGGACCCCCACAAGATGAAATGGCTGACCGTTGCTCAGGTGCACACCTGGCCAGTCTTGTGGCTTACGGCAAACTACATAGCAGGTTAGAGAAATAGCCAAATTCTAATGTGGAGGAGGGGCATGGAAACTTTTTTGATGACCTTCTCTGTACATCTCATGGTCTTCCTTCCTACTCCAGTAGTGAGTCTTTTTTTTTGAGTTTAAGTCTCACTCTGTTGCCCAGACTGGAATGCAGTGGCACATTCCCAGCCACCGCAGCCTCGACCTGCTGGACTCTGGCAATCCTTCCACCTCAGCCTTCCAAGTAGCCAGAACTACAGGTGCGCACTACCATGCCCGGCTAATTTTTGATTTATTGTAGAGATGAGTTCTTGCCAAGTTGCCCAGGTGGGTCTTGAACTCATGGGCTCAGGCAATCCACTTGCCTCGGCCTCCCAAAGTGCTGGGATTACAGGCTTAGCCACCAAGCCCGGTCAAGTAGTCAGTCTTAACAACCATTAGGGACATACTATCTTCAATTGTTTAAAAGGCACTAGCTCCCAACCCCCATCCAATATCCTTAGCTAGGATTCTAGTGTAGTTAGCGATATCCATCATGGCATAGCCTGAAAAATATGGCGACTGAAGACTGCAGCATGCCAGTATTAGCTTAAACAGGAGGAAGAATTTTAGGACAGTCAAGAAGGAGGGAGGTTTGAACACTAGCCAGGTGCAGTGGCACATGCCTATAATCCCATCATTTTGGGAGGCCAAGGTGAGAGGACTGCCTGAGCCCAGGGGTTCAAGACCAGCCTGGGCAACTTGGCAAGACCTCATCTCTCTAATAAATCCCAAGATTAACCAGGAGTAGCGGTACATGCCTGTAGTTCCAGCTACTTGGGAGGCTGAGGTGGAAGGATTGCTTGAAGATGCTGGGGCACCTTTGCCTCAGGAGGCCCATCCTAGCTGACAGGGATGGGCAGGATGAAGAGAGCAGCAGGAAAAAGAGAGGACAAGGAGAGCATGTCACTACACTCCAGCCTGGAGGTACACTCCAGACTGGACGACAGAGTGAAACTCCTAATCAAAAAACAAAACACTGTAGCAGGTTTCAGTGTGCTAGGTTTCTGTGTGTGAACACCCAGTCTTCTCTGTGGTCAGTTAAGAGCAGTGCAGCCCCAAACACTTGAAATTCGTAAGTCTTGTATGATGGCAGCGATATGGTGGAGACCTCCCAAGAGAAAATGCAGTTCCCAGGCTGGTGGGAGCTCCCAGTCCTGCTCTTGGTGAGCTAACAGTGGTCTTTGGGTAGTAACCAAGGCCTGAGACAAATCTAAGTCCTAGGTTGGGAGCGCTGGGACACTTGGTCAGTTCATTCCTGGGCTCTGAGTCATCCTATCCTCTCCACATTGAGCAACAGGGAATCTTTAAAGGCTGATCTTGGAGATTACAGGGGAAACTCAACCTACTTTTCATCCAGTTGGGGGCCACGTGGAAACAGAATTGAGGGAATACTGGGAAGTGGCAGTAGCTTGAAAGAATAGACTCTAAACTGGGAGCGGAGGCTCACGCCTATAATCCTAGCACTTTGGGAGGCTGAGTCAATGAGAGGATTGCATGAACTCAGGAGTTCGAGACCAGACTGAGCAACATGGTGAGACCTCGTCTCTAAAATAAATCATAAAATTAGCCGGGTGTGGTGGCACATGCCTGTAGTTCCAGCTACTTGGAAGGCTGAGGCAGAAGGATCGCCTGAGTCCAGCAGGTTGAAGCTGCGGTGGCTGTGAGTGTGCCACTGCACTCCAGCCTGGGTGACAGCGTGAGACTCTTCACTCTAAAAAAAGAACAGACAACTAGCAAGTTAAAACTGGGGCATGCACGTGGGCACTGATCCCACAAGGGTGGCCCTGGGTGTTCCTCTTTGGGCATCTGCAACAAAGAGCTTCCCCTTTGAGCCAGAGGACCCTTCTTTCACAGAGGGAAGCTAGAACTTGGGCTGGGATCAGTGAGTGATAAGACCTCAAAACCACCAAAGAGCTCAGTCACTCTAAAAAAGCTTTTCTACCTAGCCAACGCCTTGGCCCCCCTCCCTCCAAGTCTCTCCGATGCTTGAGTGTCTGCATGTGTGTCTGACCATCCTAAGCGACAGGAAGTGTCCCTTTGAGGGCAGGAGCCACATCTCCCTAGGGTCATAATGCTAAATAGTCCAGTCCCCCAAGGACAAGTCCTACTCTGCCATTTGCCTGCAGCGTCACATGGACTGATAGTGGTGTGCCTCCCACTGAAGATGCTGGGGCACCTTTGCCTCAGGAGGCCCATCCTAGCTGACAGGGATGGGCAGGATGAAGGGAGCAGCAGGAAAAAGAGAGGACAAAGAGATTATCTCTTGTTAGAGAAACTGAATGTTAGAGAAAGTGGAATCAGAAGCAGAAGCCCACTTTCCGCCCATACCTTCTCTTCTCCCCGAACGTTCTTCTTTTCTCTCGCTTGGTCCAGAATCTCCTGTGTGAGAACCTTCACTTCCTCAACAGGCTCTGGGCTCCTGCCCTGCTTGCCTTTCCTCTGCTGCTGCCTTTACTACCTGGCACAGGGAAAACCCACGGCCGAACACTGGCAGTGGGAGGAAAGCTGTTGTTCCCTTTCCTAGGGTTTTACTGAAAATTCGGGAGCCATCAATCTGCTACCTCTCCAGAGTCAGGGGCATGATCTAAGTGAGTGGTTCCCAAATCCAGATCATCCTGTCACTCACCCAACCACCTCCTTGATGGGTCCAGGAATCTGCATTTATGGAGGTCTACGGTGGATAACCTCACCAGTTCTAACAGATCTTGTGAATTTTCAGGGCATTGGGTTACAGCCTCTTCAAATACCTCCAGAACTTTTACCATGAATCCTGTTTTCTATACAGCTCAGCAAGCCTCAACCTCCAATTTCGCGAAGAATCTCTGCCCACTTCCTTTGCTTGCTTGCTCTCAAGAGACTCAAGCTTACTCAGGACAAGTCTAATCTCCTCTACAATTCAGCTCTTGATGAAGGTAAAAAACTCAAGAAAAACTTGTTGGCAGATCTGGAGATGGCACCTCAAAGGGAGTCTATTGTTAAGAGTTAAGAGAAAGCCAGGTGTGGTGGCTCAAGCCTGTAATTCCAGCACTTGGGGAGGCCTAGGTGAGAGGATTGCCTGAGGCCACGGGTTCGAGAACAACCTGGGCAAAGTGGCGAGACCTCATCTCTATAATAAACTGAAAAATTAACCAGGCATGGTAGCATGCACCTGTAGTTCCAGTTGCTTGGAAGGCTGAGGCAGAAGGATCACCTGAGCCCAGCAGGTTGACATTGGAGCACCCGTGAGCATGCCACTGCACTCCAGCCTGGACAACAGAGTGAGGCTACAATTTAAAAAAAAAAGAGGCTGGGCTTGGTGGCTCAGCCTCTAATTCCACACTTTGGGAGGCCGAGGTGAGTGGATTGCCTAAGCCCGCGGGTTCGTGACCCGCCTGGGCAATTTGATGAGACCTCATCTCTACAATAAATAAAAATTAGCCAGGCGTGGTAGCGCACGCCTGTAGTTCCAGTTACTTGGAAGGCTGAGGCGGAAGGATCGCCGGAGCCCAGCAGGTCAGGGCTGCGGTAGCCGGGAGTGTGCCACTGCACTCCAGTCTGGGAAGCAGAGTGAGACTCTGACTCAAAAAAAAAAAAAAAAAAGAGTTAAGAGAAGAAATGTTGGAGTGAAATGGCCCATGTCCTTGGCTGTAGCATACAAACCTTTCTATGTCTCCATTTTTTGCTTCTGTCGATATGTCAAAATGCTGTCGAGGGTGAGTGGGATAATACCTGACCAATGCCTGGAAAGCATCCAGGAAATGTTAGCTGCTATTATGGTTAGTCAGAACACCCCAATACTGGCCACACAGGCTGTCACTGGCCAACAGGAATAGTATGGGGACTGGCCCTACAGGGACAAAGTTTCTGGTTCCATTCTTTATAAGAGAAATGCAAATGACTCAGGATCTACAAAGACCAGTGTACCCATAAGTATGGAGTTTCCCTGGAAGGATGACCCCTCTAGTACTCTGTGACCTGAGGACCCTACAACAGGAGTTATTAGCTGGGACAGTCACCAACCCTGCCACCTTCAAGTCTATTACAAGAAGCATAGGATCAAGACCAAATACCTGGAACTTAATGGTTTATACCAGTGGTGGCTCAAGTTTATAATCCCAGCCCTTTGGGAGGTAGAGGAGAGAGGTTACCAGATCAGCCTGAGCAACTTGGCAAGACCACGTCTCCACAATAAATCAAAAAATATGCCTCATGTGGAGGCACACACCTGTGGTTCCAGCTACTTGGAAGGCTGAGGCAGAAGGAATGCCTGAGCCCAGCAGGTCAAACCTGTGGTGGCCGTGAGTGTTCCACTGCACTCCAGCCTGGGCAGCAGAGTGAGACTCTGACTCAAAAAAAACAAAAAACAAAACGAAACTAAAAAACACAACCCTGGTCTCCAGAGACAAAGCCCAATCTCCATCTTTGATGTAGTGAAGAAACTAAAGAGTCTGTCAGCAAACTAACTTGATTTCCAGTTTTACAGCGAATCACTGTAACCCTCGGGACTTCATCTTTCTCTTCTATATAGAAATGCAAAAAGAGTGGACAGGAGAGGGGAGGGAAGATGGTCTCTCACTGGATTGTTGTAAGGTTTGAATGAGGCAATGAGGGGAACACACCCAGTATAGAACACTTGGCACATGGCAATAACTCCACTGGTGTGTGTACCTCTGATCAGAGCTAAGGCGATGGCCTACAGACAAGGTAGGTGGCTCTCACAACTGACAGTCTCAGATACTGAGGCCTGGGGTCCCTTCTTGCCTCCCCCTCCCTCCCAGACCAGCTCCTAGAGCCCCTCCTCACCTTCCCAGCCCCAGACTGCTAAATTGATGAAGCTAAAGGTGTTTTGATCATGTTGGTATATTTATATGTAAATACAAAACTGTATCACTGTAAGATATTGAATATGAACATTACAATTATTTTCTGAATCTGACTCAGTCCATTGATGTTAAATACAAAATGAAATGACTGTAAAAAATAAGAATATACACATTCAAAGCACTTATTACAGTATAAAATTATTGAGGTCTGATCAGCTACCAACCTCTTCTGTGATGGGGGAAGACTTAGGGGTTCTGGGTATTTTCATGGTAATGTGACATGCTGAGGACTTGATTCCTTCCCTGGCACCACAGGGTGAGTGGGCTGGGAGCAGGCAGGGACACATTGGGTGGGCAGGCGACAAACAGTGATTGCAGGGGACCACCTCACCCAGTCAGGGGATCAAGCTTATTGGCACACAACCCACCCAGCTTTGAGCTCCAGGGTCTGGCAGGCTCAGAGGCAGGAGAGACGGGTATCTCACTAGCCAGAGCCAGGATGCATAAAGAAAGGAACCATCCAGCTCATCCTCCTGGGAAGGGAGTCTCATAATAGTTTCTTCGCACACCTGGGCTCCCTTCTTTCCTTCTAAGACTTCGTACCGATTGTTTTGGGCTCTGGCTAGCCAGTGAGTTCATCTCTACCCCTGGTCTCCATCTCTGGGGCAGTGAGAGGAAGTGAGGGGATGGATCACAGTGGAGGTCTGTTCCCAAAATGGCCAAGTAAACAGAGAAAAACCATGCAGAGTCAACCCAGTGTCACCACAAACCAATATCCTTGACTCCAACAGGCAGCATCCAGATAAGTCACTACGTAAGCATGAGGGCCTGTGGCTGGAGCACGGAGATGTGTGTGTGTCCTCTTTCCCACTCTGCAGTGTGACAGCAAGAGACATGATCCCCAACCCCAGCTAGTCCAGGACAAACAGTAGGATCCAAGAGGAAAGGAATTCGGAATTGCAACATGGAGCCCCAGGAACGTTTACGAAGGAGTAGCTGTGTGTATATGTATTTATAGAATACGGTCATATTATCACATACAATATATATTATATACACACATACATGTGGACCCATACACAGAAGTGCACATACATCCACGCACACACACAGGAGGAAGGACAGAAGACACTGGAATACACGCCCTACGTAGAAACATGCTTGGCACTCAGGACGATCTCTAGAATATGTAACTTGGTCAAGCTCTCTGGGGAGGAAGGCAGAAGCCCACCAGCCCTCCCCGTGAAATCCTAGCAAAGGGAAGGAGTGGGAGAAAGGAGACCTCCAGGAAGAGAATGGCGATGGGCAGGGGACGGGAGGTCCTTACCCACTTACCTCGGGGCCCCTGGCAAAAATCAATAGCCACAATTTGGTTTTAATAAGGCACAGTTTGATAGCAGGTGCTAGGAATTAAGAACACATTGCTGCTGGCCCTTTCTAGTGGCAACGTCACCACATTTATCTAGCCAAAGGAAAGACTGCCTTGCGTGCAGGTGTGTGCCGGGAGACAAGAAAAGGAGGTTGATCCATGGCTTCAGCATAACTGATGGCAACCTGAGGCTCACGGTGTCCAAGGGTGGCCTAAGGAAGGCTGGCCAGCAGGTGGGAGGCTCGGGGGAGGGTTACTGACCCTCCACGGCCAGCAGATTGTGGCCAGAGGATACCATGCCCTCCTTCTCTGCAAACTCCAGGATGGCCTTGTAGCAAAAATAGTACTGCTCAGGGGTCTGGATGCTGAAGGCCCTCTGGGTCCTCATGCGTGACACCGTCTGGAACACATTAAGGGTGCCAAGCTCCTCCAGCTGTGCCAGGCAGATGTCCAGTGAGCAGAAGGTACCTGAGGAAGGAAGGAAGTGATCACATCTGGTTTACTTTCTTCTTTTCCTCCCTCTACCAGATAGCCCAGGTGGAACTAGATGAGCAGATGCAAAGGCTAGGTGCCTCCTTGCAGGAGGCCAGGTGGCCTTAGGCCTAAAAGGACCCACGGAGGAGGTCACAGGGAATGTTGGAGGCCAGAGAAATGATAAGGCCTCTTGGCTCTCAGGACACATATGGAGAAACAGGGAAAGTAATGGGAAGCTGACCAGAGGAACTTCTTGCTTCAATCTCAGACAGATGGACTGACGGCACTCCCACTCTCGTTCAGAGGCTCTACAGTTTTTTCACAGAGGTCTAACACCAACCTATTCTTTCCGGCATTTCCCCAACAGGACTCTGAACTAGGAAGGCTGACAGTACCTGCAACATACATATTCCCTTATGGCCAAAGCTGTTAACTGGCTCCAGAATGGAGAACCGGGGTATAGGGGGGATGGGAAGGAAGCAGCAGCCCAGCGGGGTTCTCTGGGACACCCACAGTGACAGTGATGACAAGGTGACAGGGTCAGAAAATAACTATGGAGTATCGCCCCTAAAGGGCTTAGCTTGTGAAATGCATATTCTGGCCCACACCCAGCATCAGGGAGACTAAAAGGACATTAAGGAGGAATTTTTCATAACAGTTCACCACCAAGGATCAAATGAGTTCTTTCTCCAATCCCAGATGTGGGCTAAAAGCTGCGTCCCCCCTCATCCACCCACTGCCTCTAGGGCACAGTACTGCGCCAGGTGCATTACCTGTCCTGCCAATGCCTGCACTGCAGTGGACCACGATGGGGGGCTCAGGGCACTGCCCTTTGGCACGTGTACCCAGGTTGCTCACGGCCAGCCTCTGCTGGTGTCTGACCACCCTCAGGAAGTCAATGAGGGAAGCTGCTGAGGAAGGCACGCCATAATCTGGCCAGCTCAGGAACTGGAAGTGGGTCACCTGGCGTTTCTGCCGCTCCTTGGAAGAGGAAAGAAGCAAAAGGTAACGAGGTCACGTCTGCCTGCCCTGATCACCTCTGGTGTTTCCAGATTTTCCATGCCTGGGGATCCCTGTCACCAAGCAGCACCATGTGCTGCTGTCAGCTTTCCGCCAGTTGCGTCTCTACTATAAACCCAAAGGGCGGGCTCCACATTAGGAAGGGGCCAAATCCCTGTACTGCAGGATCCAGAGTTTCCAGTGTCTAAGTTTCATTCCCACGGAATGCCACCGAGGTGCTGAGACAATAAGGCTATGTTGGCTGTGAGCTGAACATCATATCCTGTTCTCAGAAAGACATAAGCCATGTCCAGCCTCCCTGGAATCCTGCCTGTTCCATTCCCTCTGGAGATTTCCTTTACAGTAATGGGTCTCCTCCAGCTACAAAAAAGTGAGAGCACAAAGCTGGCTTTACCTCTGTGTTGTGAATCTCCAGCGTGGTTTTCTTATAATGGTTCATGTTCTCCACGCCAAGATTGGTCACCATGAGGAAGCCAAATCGGATCCGAGAGTCTTTCTCTAAAGGCCAGTACTGGCCACACTTTCTCCTTCCACCTTCCTCAAAGCTGAAGACATACAGAACAGGTTAGCTTCATCCTTCCTCTCCACGGCAGCAACCCTGCGGCCCCCATGACCTGCCATCTCTCGCACTGCTTCTGACTTATACTATTGACTCTCAACAGAAAAGGAAACCCCTTCATTCAAAACAGGCATCACAGCAGAGTTAGCAGACATTTACTGGGCACTGACTACATCTCTTTCCTGATACCCCATGGTACTTCCCACATATCTGAGATAGATACTGGGTGGTCAAAAAAAAACCCAGTAAAATAGCTGGGTGTGGTGGTACACACCTGTAATTGCAACTACTCGGAAAGCTGAGGCAGGCGGATCACTGGAGCATAGGAGTTCACGAACAGCCTCAGCAACAGAGCAAAACTCCAACTCAAAAAACAAACAAGGCTAGGCATAGTGGCTGAAGCCTGTAATCCCAGCACTATGGGAGACTGAGGCAAGGGGATTGCCTGAGTCCAGGGGTTTGTAACCAGCCTGGGCAACTTGGTGAGGCCTCGTCTCTACAATAAATAAATAAACAAACAAACAAATAAATAAATAAGTAGTAGGGCATGGTGGCGCATGCCTGTAGTTCCAGCTACTTGGAAGGCTGAGGCAGAAGGATCGCTTAAGCCCAGCAGGTCAAGGCTGGTCATGGCCATGAGCATGCCACTGCACTCCAGCTGGGCAACAGAGTGAGACTCCAACTCCAAAAATAAAAACAAAAAAAACAACCAAAATAAAAAGAGAAAAAAGAAAAAAGTATGATGGGTCAGAGAGAACCCTCGGCCTACATCTCAGCCACTGTTAATCTCTTCCCCAGGAGGGGCTGTTGGTGACAGAGGCCTGAGAAAGACATGGCTCTGGAATGCTGGTGGGAGGTTTGTGGAAAGTCTTCAATCCACCTCTCCACCCTTAGTGACCCCAAAATCCTCCAAGGTAGTACTTCCCCCACTGCCTCCTCTCAAATTAGAGGCTGTCCCAGTGTCGGAAGAAGGGAGCTGAGCAAATATTCTCATTTTCTTTCTTCTCAACTGAAATAGGTTAAAACTGTCAAGAATGATAATCATGACATTAATGAAATTAATTAATTAATTATCAATTCTGTAAATTTCACAGATTTGTAGACCAAAATTTCAAAAATATTCCTTTCATTAAAAGCTTCCTGCCTCTTCTGTTTCTGCTGTTTTGGGTAGTTCTCCTGCAGGTGGAAATATGAACAAGCAGACCAAAAGTGCCACAAAAGGAGACTGTCACTCAGGAGTCAGCAGGTGCCCCCGGAACAGGAAACAGAGAAAAGGGGACCTGCCCCATAGTTCTCAGGACTCCCTTCAGTGGATGAGGCCAGGACCTGAGGTCAGGCTGTCACCAGCACAGGGACACCAGGGCCATGGATGGAAGCTTTGGCAAGTCACATTTATCAGTATCCAGCAGCCCCTAGTGTGTTCACTCCAGGTCAGCTAAAAGATCACTCAAGGCCCTTGCAATGGCTTTCCTGATCCTCACTGTGTCTAAGAGCTACACTACTCTCTTGAGTCACCGTGCTTAGAGACAGAGTGGGGGTAGGGATCAGTGGGACAAAGGGGGTTAACTCACCGAGTGGTCATGACAATCACCAAGACTTTTTGCTCCCACACCATGAGCCAGAAATCCCGGTAAGTGTTCTCCAAAGGGCCTGGAGGAAAAGGGGAGACAAGGACTGCAACTCTGAGAAGCACTTTTTTCCTTCCCGGATTTTCTGTTTCCCTCAAGACTAACTTCAACCCGCAGATGTCAGCTTCCTGCTCATCTCCCCATACCCTCTGATTTAGTGAGGTCCTTGGACGGATTGCAACCAGCAACCCACAGGTGAGTGCAGAAACACAGAATCTGCATTTTATTTATTTGAAGTGGAGTTTCACTCTGTTGTCAGGCTGGAGTGCAGTGGCCTATTCACAGCCATCGCAGTCTCAACCTGCTGGGCTCAGGTGATCCTCTCGCTTCAGCCTTCCAAGTAGCTGAAACTACAGGCATGCGCCACCATGTTCGACTAATGTTTTTATTTATTGTAGAGATGAGGTCTTACCAAGTTACCCAGGCTGGTCTCAAACCCATGAGATCAGGCAATCCTCTCACCTTGGCCTCCCAAAGTGCTGGGATTATAGGTGTGAGCCACTGTGCTCAGTGTATTTATTTTTTGAGTAGGAGTCTCACTTTGTTGCACAGGCTGAGTACAGTGACATGCTCACAGCTACCACAGACTCGACCTACTGGGCTCAGGTGATCCTTCTGCCTCAGTCTTCCAAGTAGCTGGAACTACAGGTGCATGCTATGACACCTGGGTTATTTTTTGATTGATTGTAAAGACGAGGTCTCACCAAGTTGCCCTCAGGCGGCTCTCAAACCCCTGAGTTTTGGCAATCCTTTAGCTTAAGGTTCCCAAAGTGCTGGAATTACAGGCTTGAGCCACCGTGCCCAGTCCCATAATCCACATTTTAACAAGAACCTGAGGTAAGTGGTAGGTAGGTGACATATCCTCTCAGAGTCTTTTTTTTTTTTTGAGTTGGAGTCTCACTCTGTTGCCCAAGGTAGAGTGCAGTGGCAACCTCATGGCCACCGCAGCCTCAGCCTGCTGGGCTCAGGTGATCCTTCCGCCTTAGCTTTCCAAGTAGCTGGAACTACAGGCACATGTTACCATGACCAGCTAATTTTTTTTTCTGATTTATTGTAGAGATGAGTTGCCCAGTCTGGTCTGGAACCTGTGGGCTCAGGTAATCCTCTCATCTCCATCTCCCAAAGTGCTGGGATTATAGGTGTGAGCCATCATGCCCCCGGCCTCTCAGAGCCTTAATCCAGGGCGTCAGCCATCACATTTCAGCTGACAGTATCAACTCTGCACATGTTTCCAGCTGTTTCCAACTCACTGCACTTTCCCACCTGATATCACGGGTTGTTTCCTAAACCCTTCCCCCAGGCCCCATCATCTTGAAGCCATCATGTCTGCAACTCAGTCTCTTCCTTCAAAATTAGCTTTATCTTTCTGCCTTCTCATCTCTGCTGCCAACGTTGGCATCCTTAAGTCATTCAGTCTTAAAACTCTGAGGTCAACTCTGACTAACCTACCTCCTTCATCTCCAAAAGCATCACTCACAAAATCCCCTAAATTTGCTTGCCTTAGAAATATTTTTAGCAGCTGGGCTTGGTGGCTCAGCCTATAATCCTGCGCCTGGGGAGGCTGAGGTGAGAGGATTGCCTGAGCCTGCGGGTTCGAGACCCGCCTGGGCAACTTGGCGAGACCTCATCTCTCCAATAAATCAAAAATCGGCCGGGCGTGGCAGCACGTGCCCGTAGTTCCAGCTACTTGGAAGGCCAAGGCGGAAGGATCGCCAGAGCCTACCAGGTCAAGGCTGCAGTGGCTGGGAGTGGCCACTGCACTCCAGTCTGGGCGACAGAGTGAGACTCCAACTCAAAAAAAAAAAAAATATATTTTTGGCTTTCATTCTTTGGAGCCCACCGTTTCCCAATCCTGTTCTTCCTGCCTAGTCTCTCTGCCACAAGGACCACATCATCTCTTGTCTGCATTACTGTAACACCATCTGAATCTGCTTTTCTGAGCAGGTCTCCTTACCCTCCAGTCTACTCTAGATAAACTCCACCAGTATGCTCTATAAAAAGCGACTTCATCCAACACAGACACACCATGCTCACTTTCACCTCTATTCCTTTGCTCCAGCTTCCTCCCTTGCCCCCAATGCCATTCACTTGCTGCCCATTTTTCAGTGTTGCCTCTGCCCTGAAGTTTTCTCTGACCACATTTCCTGCGGGGCTTCTCCTGTGAGCTCTTCATGGCACAGCTCATCTAAACAGCGGAACCATTTAATTTATATAGTCTTACATCAGTTCATTTTACTTTGTGGGAATTAATGATGTCTCAGTAAACATGCTTCTGAGGGCAAGGGACATGTTGCCAAGTTCTCCTTTTACAGTTAGAAACTGGCGGCTGGCCGCCGGGCTCGGTGGCTCAGCCTGTAATCCCAGCATTTTGGGAGGCCGAGGTGAGTGGATTGCCTGAGCCTGCGGGTTCGAGACCCGTCTGGGCAACTTGGTGAGACCTCATATCTCTATAATAAATAAAAATTAGCCGGGCATGGTAGCGCGTGCCTGTAGTTCCAGCTACTTGGAAGGCTGAGGCAGAAGGATTGCTGGAGCCCAGCAAGTCGAGGTTGTGGTGGCAGGGAGCGGTTACTGCACTCAGTCTGGGTGACAGAGTGAGACTCCAACTCAGAAAAAAAAAAAAAGAAAGAAAGAAAGAAAGAAAGAAACTGGCGGCTGGGCACAGTGGCTCACGTCTACTAACCCAGAACGTTGGTAGGCTGAGGCAGGAAGAATACTTGAGGCCAGGGATTCAAAACCAACCTGGGCAATTAGGGAGACTTTGCCTCTATAAAAATAAAAATAGAAAAACTAGACATGGTGGCTCACGCCTGTAATTCCAGCATGTTGGGAGGGCAAGGTGAGAGGATTGCCTGGGCCTAGGTGTTCAAGACCAGCCTGGGCAATTTGGTGAGACCTCATCTATATAATAAATCAAAAAATTAGCTGGGCGTGGTAACGCATGCCTGTAGTTCCAGCTACTTGGAAGGCTGAGGCCGAAGGATCGCCTGAGCCCAGCAGGTTGAGGCTGCAGTGGCCGTGAATGTGCCACTGCACTCCAGCCTGCACTCCACTTTGGAGATCTTATCTCCAAAATAAATAAAGTTAGAACATGCTCAGGGCCAAGCACTCAGAAGCAACTTTGAAGACACCTTTCAATCAAGAGAGCAGCAACTCAGGATAGCTCCTAATACTTCCTCAGTGCCTTTTCCTTCTCTGCTTTCCGGGAAGCAGGACAGTACTAAGAATTCATTTTGGCCTGGAAGTTGGATGGCTCCACTACCTTTTCTGCTAAGTCTTTTAGCAAGCACTAACACCTTACAATGTTGGAATTTTTTTTTTTTTTCGGTATCTTTCTTTTATTTTGAGTTGGAGTCTCACTCTGTTGTACAGACTGGAGTGCAGTAGCACACTCACGGCCACCGAAGCCTCAACCTGCTGGACTCAGGCGATTCTTCTGCCTCAGCCTTTCAAGTAGCTGATACTAAAGGCACGTGCTACCATGCCCAGCTAATTTTTTTGATTTATTGTAGAGATGAGGTCTTGCCAAGTTGCCCAGGCTAGTCTGGAACCTGTGGGCTTAGGTAATCCTCTCACCTCGGCTTCCCAAAGTGCTGGGATTATAGGTGTGAGCCACTGCATCCAGCCGGAATCTTATTTTTTTATTGTATTTTCTTTTCTTTTCTTTTTTTTTTTTGAGTTGGAGTCTCACTCTGTCACCCAGACTGGAATGCAGTGGCCGCTCCCGGCCACCGCAGCCTCAACCTGCTGGGCTCCGGTGATCCTTTCGCCTCAGCCCTCCAAGGAGCTAGATCTATAGGCGTGCACTACCACGGCCAACTAATTTTTGATTTATTATAGAGATGAGGTCTTGCCAAGTTGCCCAGGCAAGTCTCAAACCCACGGACTCAGGCAATCCCCTCACCTCGGCCTCCCAAAGCGTAGGTTTACAGGCTGAGCCACTGAGCCTGGCGAATTTTATCTTTTTAAGTGAACACTGTAGCCAGGTGTGGTGGCTCATACCTGTAATCTCAACACTTTGGGAGGATGAGGCAGGAGGATTTCTTGAAGCCAGAAGTTCAAAACTAGCCTGGGCAACATGGTGAGACCCATCTATATTTAAAAATAATAATAATAATCATAAATAAATAAAAGGAAGAAGAAAAAGTAGACACTGACAAAAGCATGTGAGGTCTTGGAAACAGGTTAAATGTCCAACAAGAGAGGATGTGTTAACTTACAGCTACCCATACTTTCTACAGTCCATAAAAGTGACATTGTAAGATCTGGGTTTTCTGCCATGGAAAAGTCTACACAAGACAACATTAAATGAATAAAGACGTAATGTTCAGAAAGAGCTCATTTTGTTAATTTTTTTTCCTGTCAGTTCTAACTGGACTGAATTGTTAAATATTTTATATGCATAAAAAAGTTAGTCTGATGCAGTAGCTCATACCTGTAATCCTAGCATTTTGGGAGGCTGAGATGAGAGGACTGCCTGAGCCCATGGGTTCAAGACCAGCCTGGGCAACTTGGCCAGACCTCATCTCTACAAAAAATTTAAAAATTAGCCAGGTGTGGTGGCCCATGCCTGTAGTTCCAGATACTTGGGAGGCTGAGGCGGAAGGATCGCCTGAACCTAGCAGGTTGAGGCTCCAGTGGCCGTGAGCGTGCCACTGTAATCTAGCCTGAGTGACAGAGTGAGAGACTCCAACTCAAAAAAAAAAAAAAAAGAAAGAAAAAAAAGTCTAGGAGAAGATGTTACAAAATGTGACCATGACCTCTGGGGTTCTAGGGTGATAAGTGATTTTTATTTTTTATTTCTAAGTGGACATGCATGTCCCTAGTATGCATATCAAGAAAATGATAACACTTTTTCTACATCCCTGGCTCCAGCGCCATCCACATCCTCCTCTCCTGCACCACAGCAGCTCTCACATCACTTAATTCCCACATTCAAACCACTGGCAGCACTGGGGTTGCTGAGTAGTCAGAGCACCTGGTACCCCAGATTCCAGATCAGGCAGGGAGAAAGGGCCAAACTTGCTCCAAGGCACAAGAGAGATGCAGAGGGCAAGTTATATATCCCAGATGAGACCCATTAATAGCAGACTTCTCTGAAGAAAGCAAGCCAGGAGCTTACAATGATACAGGTGAAACACTCCACTGATCGGGGCCGCAAAAACATCTGAACTAAACAAACATGGATTCAAATCCTGGGTCTGCCACTAACTAGCTGTGTGATCCAAGGTCACCTAACCTTGGACTTCAGTTTACTTATCTATAAAATAAACCAATAATCCTTCCATGAAAAGTATCTATAATGATCAGATAGCAATTATGCACCTGATATATAATATATGACATTAGTAGAATTATTATTATAAATAAGAATCAGAATACTGAATATAGCCAGCTAAGGAGGTTGCAAGGCAAATCAAACTTGCCTTTGCAACATCACAGAACCCACTTTTTGGTCCTAATAGTTCTGAAGCCCTAAGAGTGATCAGTGCTTGAATCAAGAAATCCTTTCTCTATAGGACATGGTGGCTCACACCTGTAATTCTAACACTTTGGGAGCCTGAGGTGGGCCCAGTAGTTCGAGGTTGCAGTGAACTATGATTGAGCACGCTAGTTTGGGGGACAGAGCAAGATCCTGCCTCAAAAAAAAAAAAGCCACAGTGGCTCATGCCTGCAATCCCAGCATTTTGGTAGAATCTAAAGTCCCTGTTCCCTTTTTCCTCCCCCAATTTTCATTTCAAACAATTTCAAACCTCCATAAAAGTTAAAAGAATAATACGTGCACCCGGGCATTCTTTGCCTAAAAAAGTTATCATTTTGCAACATTTACTTCTCTCTCTGTACACGCATATACACATATTTTCCTATCTACTAAACTATTTTTTTTTTTGAGTTGGAGTCTCACTCGGTCGCCCAGACTGGAGTGCAGTGGCTGCTCCCAGCCACCGCAGCCTCGACCTGCTGGGCTCCGGCGATCCTTCCGCCTCAGTCTTCCAAGTAGCTGGAACTACAGGTGTGTGCTACCACGCCTGGCTAATTTTTTGATTTATTGTAGAGATGAGGTCTCGCCAAGTTGCCCAGGCGGGTCTCGAACCCACGGGCTCAGGCAATTCACTCACCTCAGCCTCCCAAAGGCACGGGATTACAGGCTGAGCTACCGAGCCCGGCTACTAAACTATTTTAATGAAAGTTGCAGGCTATACTTAACAATACTGTGTTGTGCACTTAAAAATTTAAGGGGGTAGATCCCAAGTATTCTTACAAAAAAATAAAAAAGTAAGTTGCAGACAACATAATATCTCATTCCTAAATACTTGAGTATATGTCAGGAAAACAAGGGCATCCTCTGATAGAATATCACTGTCACGCTGATGCCAGTCTCTAGATGTCCTAGTCATCTGTCTTTAGTAGTTTTTCTCCCAACTGAGGATCTAAGCACAGATCACAAGTCACCTATGGTTATCTCTGTATTCTCCTTGAATCTGGACTAGTTTTCTGCCTATTCTGTTTGTGTTCCATTGCATTGACTTTGAAGAGTCTGAGCCAGTTTTTTTGCAGTGTGTCCCAGAATTTGTCCATTTCTCATGGTGAGATTCAGATTTTAAAACTGGTAACAGATAACACAGGTAATGTTCTTTGCTCACAGTCCCATCAGGAGGCACACGTGAGGCCCCTATGTCCACTACTGGTGATATCAAGTCAGATCATTTGGTTAAAGAGGTATTGCCCAGATGTCTTGCTGACTACACTCTGCAGGGGTCAAATGGTATACGGCGGCCAGTGCGGTCTTTCTGTGCTGTGATTACTTTCCACCCTTCTTTGAAGGTGAAGTGGTATTATTATTATTTTTTGGAATTGAAGTCTCACTCTGTCACCTATTCTGGACTTAATTGATCCTTCCACCTGAGCTTTCCAAGTAGCTGAAACTACACATGTAAGCCACCATGTCTGCCAATTTTTTGATTTATCATAGAGTTGAGGTCTCAAACCCCTGGGCTCAGGCAATCCTCTTGCCCTGGCCTTCCAAAGTTCTGGGATTATAGGCGTGAGTCACCATGCCCAGAGGACATGGTATTCTTAAGATGGAAAGGTCAGGTCAGGAGGACTATTGGGCCCATAGAGATATTTATAGAAACTCCATCCAAAACCCTCCTGGAGTCCAGCACTTCACCGGCAGACTCAGTGTAGACTAGCCACGTAAGAACACTTGCTGGAGTGCCCTGTAAAGATACAGGGGCCAGGAAAGGCCTGGTAGAACAGCCACACTCATTCCTAGATTGGATTCAATCTCAATCTCTGAGAAGACCATGGCTCTTACTAGATATAAAGAGCATATCACTGGTTGGTGAGTTCTGACAACTTACACCCTTGGATTGGTGATACTAAGATACAGCCTAAAAACTTGCAGGCTGGGTCAGGCGTGGTGGCTCATGCCTATAATCTCAGCACTTTGGAAGGTCAAGGTGAGAGGATTGCCTGAGCCCATGGGTTTGAGACCAGCCTAGGCAACGTGGCGAGACATCATCTCCAAAATAAATTAAAAAATTAGCTGGGCATGGTGTGCATGCCTGTAGTTCCAGCTACTTGGAAGACTGAGGCGAAAGGATCACCTGAGCGTAGCAGGTTGAGGCTGTGGTGGCTGTGAGCGTGCCACTGCACTCCAGCCTGGGCAACAGAGTGAGACTCCAACTAAAAAAACAAAAAAAACCTTGCAGGCAGTAGCTTCATGTGTTTAAATCTCAGTTTCTCTCTATGCAGTGAGTTTCCAGGCATGCCTGGCACAGAAACCCTCTAGCTCTCATCTGCCTTTCCCGACCACCACCAAGCTTCATGAAGGGCCAGGATCTAGGAGACAACTTCAACTCAAGCTCCCATTTCCTTTAAAAAAGTATGCCATCACTTGCACAAGGAATCAGAGGTAGATGGCACGAAACAAATATGTGAGAGTTGGACCAGCTTACCTTGTGTACCAATGTAAGCATTCTTCTGCTTATAGCCATCCATGAAACTGGCATTGATGTAATCTGTCTAATGGTAAAAAGGAGACATCATTACAGCGGCATGGAATAACCATTTGGGTCGTAAAATGTTGTAATGGGTAAGTACAACCAAGATGTCAATATTCTCTTATCAGGCAGAAAATGAGGAATGAGAAGGCCAATTCAAAACCTCATTTCAACAAATGGTGCTAGGACAACTGGATACCTAGATATAGTAAAATCAAGCTGTCCCCTTCCTCACACCATATACAAAAATTAACTCAAAGTAAACCACAGACCTAAGTAAGAGATTAAAACTATAAAATTCAGCTGAGTGCAGTGGCTCACACCTGTAATCTCAGCACCTTGGGAGGCCGAGGCAAGAGGACAGCCTGATTCCAGTGGTTCAAGACCAGCCTGGGCAACTTGGAAAGACCTCATCTCTACAATAAATAAAAAATTAGCTGGACATGGTGGCGTGCACCTATAGTTTCAGCTACTTGGAAGGCTGAAGAGGAAGGATTGCCTGAGCCCAACAGGTCAAGACTGTGGTGACTATGAACACATCACTGCACTCCAGCCTGGGCGACAGAGTGAGACTCCAACTAAAACAAACAAAAAACTATAAAACTCTTAGAATAAAATGCAGGAGTAAATCTCTGTGACCCTGAGTTACGCATAGCCTTCTTAGATAGGGCATCAAAGATACTACTGAAAAAGAAAAGAGATAAATTGAAGTATTTAAAAAGTAAAAATGCTTATGCTTCAAAGGACACTGTCAAGAAAGTATAAAGAGAACTCACAGAATGCATATACTTGGTAAGGGACTTTCATCTAGAATACGTAAATAATTCTTACAACACAATGATTAAAAGATAAAAAGCCAGTCTGAACATGGGCAAAAGAGATTTTTTTTTTTTTTTTTTTTTGAGTTGGAGTATCACTGTCACCCAGACTGGAGTGCAGTGGCTGTTCCTGGTCACTGCAGCCTCGACCTGCTGGGCTCTGCCGATCCTTCCACCTCAGCCTTCCAAGTAGCTGGAACTACAGGCGCACGCTACCACACCCGGCTAAGTTTTTTGATTTATTGTAGAGATGAGGTCTCGCCAAGTTGCCCAGGCGGGTCTCGAACCCGCAGGCTCAGGCAATTCACTCACCTCGGCCTCCCAAATCGCAGGATTACAGGCTGAGCCACCGAGCCCATCGGCAAAAGAGATTAACAGATGTTTTCCCAAAGAAGCTAGACAAATGGAAAGCTGTTTAGCATCATTATCCATCAGAGAACTGCAAATCAAAACCACAAGGAGACATCAATTCACACCCATTAGGTGACTACAAGTCACAGAGGTAGATAATAACAGGTGTTGGCAAGGATATGGAAAAACTGGAACCCTTACCCACTGCCAATGGTAATATAAAATGCTATAGTCACTTTAGAAAACAGTGTGGTATTTCCTCAAAGGAGTAAACAGTTACCATATGACCCAGCTATTCGACTCTAGAGGGCGTAACAACATATGTCCACACAAAACCCTGTACACGAATAGTCATAGCAGCATTATTTGTAAGTCAAAAAGTGGAAACCACTCATATGTCCTTCAACTGATAAATAAAATGTGGCCTATCCATACAATGGAATGTTATTTGGCAACAAAAAGAAGTGATGTGTTGATACATGCTATACCTTGGCAGAACCTAGAAAACATTATGCTAAGTGTTAGAAGCCAGACACAAAAAGCTACATAGAGTATGATTCCATTTATATGAAATGTCAAAAACAGGCAAACCTATAGATATAGGAAATATGAGATTAGGGTGGGTCAGAGGGAAATTGGCAGTGACTGCGAATGATACAAGATTTCTTTTTGGGGTGATAAAAATGTTCTAAGGTTGGCCGGGCACAGTGCCTCACACCTATAATCCCAGCACTTTGGGAGGCTGAGGTGAGAGGATTGTCTCAGCCCATGGGTTCGAGACCAGCCTGAGCAATTTGGCGAGCCCTCATCTCTACAATAAATCAAAAAAGTAGCCGGGCGTGGTGGTGCATACCTGTAGCTCCAGTTATTTGGAAGGCTGAGGCAGAAGGATCACTTGAGCCCAGCAGGTGGAGGCTGCAGTGGCCGTGAGCATGCCACTCCACTCCAGCCTGGGCAACAGAGTAAAACTCCAACTCAAAAAGAAAAAAAAAAAGTTCTAAGGCCTGGGAGCAGTGGCTCATGCCTGTAATCCCAACATTTTGGAAGGTAGAGGTGAGAGAGTTGCCTGAGCCCAGAGATTCGAGACCAGTCAAGGCTACTTGGCGAGACCTCTACATTAAATCAAAAAGTCAATCATATAGGGAGGCACACACCTGTGGTTCCAGTTACTTGGAAGGTTGAGGCAGAAGAATTGCCTGACCCAGCAGGTCGATGCTGTGGTGGCCATAAGCGTGCCAATCCAGCCTGGGCGACAGAGTGATACTCCAAGTAAAAAAAAAAAAGTTTCCTGCTTAAACACTCCTTACTTACTTGACTAAATAAATCATGGAATGAGAAGCTGGGACTTGTCACCTCCCAGTCACTGGCACTGGCCTCATACCAACAGCATTCTGCCCTGACCCAGACAACTTCCTGGTCTCATGGGCCACCTCCAGCAGACCCAGCAGGCTACAAGTCTCACAACCTCCAAGCAGGCTTCTCAATTTCAGGTGTACTCAGTCAGCCAAACCCTTTCTCTGCTCAGCCTGGCGAATGCAAGTGGTGTGCCCCTAAGACCTAGGGCAGAAGGCATAGAACAGTACGGAACACTGACCTTGGTATATGCCAATCAACACTATTGTAATATGTAAGTTGTTACCCCAGGAACTATCTTCATGCTTTGAAACAAATATCACCACTTTATTTATTTATTTATTTATTTATTTGTTTGTTTGTTTTTTGAGTTGGAGTCTCACTCTGTCACCCAGACTGGAGTGCAGTGGCCGCTTCCAGGCACCGCAGCCTCGACCTGCTGGGCTCCAGTGATCCTTCCGCCTCAGCCTTCCAAGTATCCGGAATTATAGGCATGCGCTACCATGCCCGACTGATTTTTTGATTTATTGTAGAGATGAGATCTTGCTGCCCAGACGGGTCTCGAACTCGCAGGCTCAGGCAATCCACTCACCTCAGCCTCCCAAAGGCATGGGATTACAGGCTGAGCCACCGAGCCCGGCTAATATCACCACTTTAAAGAAGACACTGTTTCTTTATAATTAAGGATGTATCAACTTGCCGCATCCTTGTGCCTGAGAGGAATTAAAATCAGCAATTTCAGAAGAATCATTGGATTTTAAAACTGAAAAAGAGTTCAGAGACAAAGTATATACTTGGGGGCAAATAGAAACAGTAGGCAGGACCAAGGCCAGCACACCATGTTATGGGCCATTGCTGAGGCCTGAACTTTTATGTCGCCCCCACCCACCTCAAACTCATATGCTGAAAGCCCAACCTCCAATGTGATGGCATCAGGAGATAAGACCTTTGCTAGGTGGTTAGGTCATGAGCCCCAGGAGAAAGGCACCCTCATCAGTGGGATTAGCACCCTTCCTTACAGCAAGAAGAGTTCCAAAGAGCTCCAGCATCCTTTTCGCCATGTGAGAACACAGTACCAAGAAAAGAATCAAGAAAGGGGCCCTTGCAGACACACAATCTGCCAGCACTTGGTCTCGGCCTTCCCAGCCTCCAACTCCAGAATAATGAGAAACACACTTCTGTTGTTTATGAGCCACCTGGTCTGTGGTACATTTGTTACGGCAGCCCAAGCAAACTAAGACAGCCATGTTCAATGGAAACTGTGACAACTTTAAAACTGCAAATCAGTCAACAATTCACCGAAAAGCCTGAAGCCTCCAAATAACAATGCATTGTATACTGGGAAATTACTAAGAGGGTGGACTTTCAGTGCTTCCCCCACAAAAAAAAATCCCAAGTCTGTGGGGTAATGCACATGTTAAGTAGCTTGATCCAGCCACTTTGCAATGTATACATATTTCCAGATATTATGTATTGCATCATAAATACCTCCACTCTGTCACCCAGACTGGAGTGCAGTGGCACACTCATAGCCACTGCAGCCTCCACCTGCTGTGCTCAGGTGATCCTTCCGCCTCAGCCTTCCAAGTAGCTGGAACTACAGGCATGCGCCAGTGTGGCAAGACCTCATCTCTACAATAAGTACTGCCCAGGCTGGTCTCGAACCCGTGGGCTCAGGCAATCCTCTCACCTTTGCCTCCCAAAGTGCTGGGATTACAGATGTGAGCCACTGCGCCAGGCCCAGTTTTTGCTGATTAAAATAAATGAACACATAAATGTCAAGAAAAAGAATGAGAATGAATAGTCCCAACATTAGAAATACCATGAGACTGCTAAATCCCTGAAGCTAAATAATTTAACGTCAAAAAACTAAAACCAGCAAGGCTCGGTGGCTCAGCCTGTAATTCCAGGGCTTTGGAAGGCCAAGGTGAGTGAATTACCTAATCCCATGGGTTCGAGACCAGCCTGGGCAACTTGGCGAGACCTCGTCTCTCCAACTAATCAAAAAATTAGCCAGGCGTGGTAGTAGCATGTACCTGTAGTTCTGGCTACTTGGAAGGCTGAGGTGGAAGGATCGCTGGAACCCAGTGGGTTGACACTGGGGTGGCCCTGAGTGTGCCACTGCACTCTAGCCTGGGCAACAGAGTGAGACTCCAACTCAAAATAAACAAAAAACAAAAAAACAGCCTAGATAACTTGGTGAGAGCTCATCTCTACAATAATTCAAAAAATTAGCCGGGTGTGGTAGCACATGCCTGTGGTTCTAGCTACTTGGAAGGCTGAAATGGAAGGATCACCTGAGCTCAGCAGGTCAAGACTGTGGTAGCCATGAGCGTTGACACTGCACTCCAGCCTGGCCGACAGATTGAGGCTTCAACTCAAAAAATAAAAAAAAAACCTGAAATCTTCCATTTACTATGAAAAAGAGCCTTTGTCAGTGCTTACAGTAACAAGAGGGACAACAAATCAGACACTATTTTTTTTTTTTGAGTTGGAGCCTGGGATTACAGGCTGAGCCACTGTGCCCGTCCCAGACACTATCTTCAGGTGAACCACAGGATGACCATAATGGACTCTTGGTAGATAAACTGAGATTAACTCCTTTATGGACTCCTAAGTGTCTGATATATGCCAGACACTGTTCTAGATATTGGAAACAGGGAAGTCAACAAAACAGAACAACATGTATGTCTCTGACTCTAGAGTCCCAACTCAATCACTGTACCCCACTCTTGCAGAGCATCATGGTGACAATCTCAGCAGCAATGATGACTCTACTCCCCACCACTAGCCAGACTTTCAGTTAACCCTCATGCAAGAAAACACTCTGCAGGGGTCCTGAACAGGACTGCAAATTCAGGTTATATGCTTGAAACAGTAGGGTCAAGAGCTCGAAACTGTGATCCAAGGGTCCCAACCCACATGTCATATATACCCAAATACAAGCCAAGGATTTGCCCAAAAATTATCCTCCAGAAAAAGAGGGGGGATATAACAAATCCTCATAACACATCATGTAAAGAGTTATTATTTGAATTCCTTTGCTCTAGGGCCGGGTGCGGTGGCTCATGCCTATAATCCTGGCACTTTGGGAGGCTGAGGTGAGAGGACTGCCTGAGCCCACGGGCTTCAGATCAGCCGGGGCAACTTGACAAGACCTCATCTCTACAATAAATAAAAAAATTAGCCAGGCACAGTGGTGCATGCCTGTAGTTCCAGCTACCTGGATGGCTAAGGCAGAAGGATCACCTGAGCCCAGCAGGTCGAGGCTGTGGTGGCCGTGAGTGTGCCACTGCACTCCAGTCTGGGTGACAGAATGAGACTCCAACTCAAAAAATAAAAAAAAGCCGGGCTCAGTGGCTCAGCCTGTAATCCTGCACTTTGGGAGGCTGAGGTGAATGAATTGCCTGAGCCTGTGGGCTCGAGACCCGCCTGGGCAACTTGGCGAGACCTCATCTCTACAATAAATAAAAAA